ATTTAGAGTCGCATCTATTCACTCATTTTATCATTTTCATATAATCCTAGGAGAACGTTGTTTAGTTGTTTGAGGTGTTTTATATCTACCAAACATGCTCATCCATGAGTCCCACATAGTGGTGTCAACACCTGAATGCTCTTTCATCTTTTTATTCAGGGTCTGGGGAGAGGGAGGTCTGGGCCTCCCTTCTGAAGCTGCTGCCCCCGCGACCCAACCCCGGATAGGCGGAAGAAAATGGATGGATGGATGGATGGATGGATGGATGGATGGATGGATGGATGGATGGAACCCTAACTAAGTATTGAGTGCTGTACATGTTTTCATGGTCATACAATTGGTTGACCATTTCTAAAAATCCTTTTTTTAAATGTATTTTCTTGGATTGGTCTTAAGTAATATTCTATTTTATGAGATTCATTAGTTGTGAGTTATAACCATCAAAATTAAAAGAAATAAACATTTGAAATAAATCAGTCTGGGTGTAATGAATGAATATAAATATACAAGTTTCACTTTCAAGTGGATTTATTTAAATAAATCAACCTTTTCATGATATTCCAACCTGTATACATATTTTAGGAAATAGGGACAAACAAATGTGCATGTTCCTGACAGGCCAACATGCGATGTGACAGAAGTGAAACACATTCAGAAAGGATTCACGTGTTTATTTAAACGCTTCAAATCAAGCAATTTACTGGCAGCTCCAATTATTATTTACTGAACTGCAGCAAAGAGGAGTCACAGGTGTTATCAGCGGGAGGAGAGAGTTTATGAAGGAACAGAGACGCCATTTGTGAAAATGTGTCAGAAGAAGATATTATCAGAATTTCTCCCAGGCTAGCTTATTGCTAATTTCCTGCAGGACCTGTGAGATGACCTGGAAGCTGTTTCTAAAATGAATAAAGCTGAACCTGCAAGAATACAATTTTTTTTGCAGTTGCACAAACACAAAACACAGATTAGCTCGACGCTTATTGATCATTTTCATGTTTGTTGTTGGATCCATAAAAAGAAAATATTTAAACTAATGCCCTAGAATACTTCTGTGTATATGTATACAGCAGATGCAACAAACTACATTTTATGAACAACAAAGTGCACCAAACATGATGTGTGTTGCTTATGTGACAGGTTATCAGTTTGATTGCGATCATGTCTTCATTCTTGTCATGATTTCAGTGAATATCCTCCATTTGTAGACCACACAGATTTTAAACCCCACCAACCGTCTTATGATGATGCTAAACTGTCAGTGTCAGAATTTATGCCCCTCGGTGTCATTTGCAAAGAAACAAATGAAAAAGTCACCTCAACGACAAGATTAACTTTGATTAATGTCAAGGTTTAAAAGCCCCTCTGCAGACCGTGGTCACTTTGTGTGACACCACAAAGAACCTGAAGTGACTTTAATCATTTCACCTGCTGCAGGCCAAACCTTCATATTTGCAGAGCTTTCTGAGAGTTCGGCACAACAGCATGTAGTATAATAGAAGTGCATGCTCTCGTGGTCCTTGTTAGATGAAGAATAGTMCCCTCCTCACAGAGGCCTTTTGTCATCTTTTTGTCTGCAGAAGAGTGGTATGATGTGACCTTTAATGGCTGGCAGGCCAGAAGAGAACACARGACTTATAAGAAATGGCAGGTCCGCAGCTGACCTTTAATAAACCCTCATATTGCATTAAGACCCTTTGATCACTTGGATTATCCACTGCTGTCTGGGACCTCGCCRGATCATTTTGACCCGTTAGCTCATGCTGAGGTGCTAAAGAAAGGAAAATTATATACATCATAAAGTGTGCAAACTTTAGACTTAAAGCTTAATCCAGACTTTACTTTGAGTCTTGATGTACAAAACTGCTAAATAGCATCATTTTAAATATTACACCAACAATTATCAAAATAGACAAAGACACAAATTCTGGTCGTTACATTTCGCCTTTTATGTAAATAAGCACCTCTAGAGAATAAATTTGGTTCAGTTTAACATATTTTTAAGGCATTCTGTTTAATGTGTGTTGTGGTTTTGTTGTGTCAGTCTTGGTTTTTGCTGTCCCTGCTCACCTGGTCCTCGTTTGGTAATCATCACACTTGCACCACTTCTGTAATTGTCTCTAATCTCTGTCACGCCCATGATTTTGTTCATCTGTGTACAACACTCTGGAYGTATTTGGTTTTAGTTGGTTTGCTTTGGTGCACTGGTCCAGTCCACACTCATCACTCACACATCAGTAGGTGGCGGTAATGCACATTATCGGTGTTTGCCAACTGCCAAAACTAAACCAAGAAGAAGAAGTTCAAACATCTCAACAAGATTCTCATGCTGAGCTACTAGATGGTAAGAATGTCTACAATAAGACATCGAAATGCAGAAAAAGAATTTGCAGCTTGACTAAAGATTTTGCCAAAACTTGTGTTTCTTGTTTATCAGTGATGAGGATAAAATGAGATGGAGGCTGTAAAACTGGTAAGAATGGCTTTTAAAAATGTCTTTTCATGGCACAAAGTGATTGTGAGCATGTATGAATTAGGCTTCTACATCATTGTTTCCAAATGGTTTTATTTGTTTCTTCTATCCAGGCATCAGAAACACTTTTTAAAATCCTTGTCCACTTGTTAGCTTCAGCTGCAGTTTTTTAAAAGTTCTTCCTGTTCGCATCACTTTTGTTCTTGAGTTTAATTAAAGCTAAGACAATAAAGTCCTGATTTCTCTGTCATGCGGCCTTTGTTGCTTMAAGTTCTGCATTCTGGGTGATTTGTGAATGCACACTTTATGATTTATATGCGTAACATAGTCCTATTTGTGCAGTTGGAACTGTGTACATTTGAAAACTGATGATGCATTTGTGAATCTTGTGGTTTGCATACAAATCTYGTTGTTCGGGTTTGTGAATACGTTTGAGACTAATTTATCTCCGTAGATGTGAGACTGTCTGCATGCTCTTAGAGACTTTTAGCTTACTTGGTGAAAAGGAATTTAGCGTGCTTTTTTCTGTGTGTTTTACAGCAGAAGAGTGGAAAAACTCCTGTCATTATCTTATTTAGGTCACTGAATTGTTTAAACTTATTTTTTTTTCAAGGACAACTTATTGCTTTACCTGGGAAACAAAARCTTTGTATTTAATATTTGCAAAAAGCAAGATAAACAACTGCATTTCATATTGTTGCTTTCCTTTTGAGTCTTTTTGCATTGTGTATGTT